AACTGTTTGGGCCTTAGAAAGGCATCCAAGACTTAGGAATGGTTTTGTCGCCAATGTCATGTAAATAAAGACAATGAAGTCTAAGTACATGTATTATCCTCATTGTTTATGTACTTGTCTCTCTATTTTTACACTCACCTCTTTCTACTCAGTTATTTCTTTTGACTAATGACAAAATCATTATGTTTGATTCAACTTACTTATTGTTTTTTATTTAATATTCACGATTAATTTATTAACACCCACATAGCCACACCCAATTTAATCACGTGATCGCCATTGCCGGACCAATAGCGCTGCAAATCGTGTCCGGCTGCCGGACCAATATCCACTTCCTTTAGTTAATTATCATTATCGGTCACACCCATCTTCATTAATTGCTGCAACAAAGCACGAGGCTCCTTGTTTGTATTTTTGTTTGGACTCATTGAATCTCTCAGCTGCCTTTTCTTATCATAAATACTACCTCTATTGAATGTAAGTCACTATAAAAACAAAATTTGTTTGTATAGCATGCAGTTTGTTTTCAAAGCTGCTCTATCATGTGTAGCCATAGTGCATGCAAGGTGCAAATTGCTCAGGCTTTAGTTCTGTAAAATAAAGGTACATCAATCTAGCACCAAGCCTTTTCCCCATGTTTACATGTCATTGGTATGATAATCAATTTTTTATGTTAATGTATTTTTTAGATTGCGACACGCCCATGTACATACTCTACATGGCCTGAAATAAGCATGACGAATGCTATCAAAGCAGTTGAAGAAGAGGGGTTGACAGTTAGACTTGCAGCGGAGCTATATGGCATTCCCAAATCAACACTTTATGACAGGATCAGGGGAAATGTTCAACATGGAACTAAACCTGGCCCAGTGCCGTATCTTACAAAAGAAGAAGAGGTTATTTTGGCTAAGTTTTTAATCAAATGTTCTCAGATTGGATTTCCCCGCACAGTTTCAGAAGTTCTTGCACTAGTAAGACAAACAATTCAGTCAAAGGGTTTAAGTGACGTCTCAATTTCTTATGGATGGTGGCAGAAATTTTGTAGCAGGCACAGTGAATTATCACTTCGTACTGCTGTGCCTTTAAGTCTTTCGAGAGCCATGGCCACTGCTAATAGTGTCATACAAAAGTATTTTGATATACTCGAAGATACACTTAAAGAAAATTCTCTA